AGATATGCAAAGTGAGCTTTAGGGATCTCGGTGTTGCCGAACCGAAACTTTGCGCAGAAAAAGCACAAAACATAGAAGAATGATTCTAGGTCGTGCCGGTACTGGTGTGGGGTGGGGTTGGAGGCAGAAATCGAGAGATCCAGAGCTAAAAACGGTCCTTTTCCCATTTTGTACTGCGAGCATGTTTCGGATTTCCTAGACGTTGTATCCCTTGTAGCTTCTGATTTTGAGGTCCCTCGGAAACCAAAATCTCCCTCTGCAGCGTCACGGAGATAGGTCGGCTCCTTTTCAACCGAAGAAAGATCCCAATCTGTCAATACGCCAACCACTTGGTGCCTGTCATCGTAATAGAACATAATGTTGTCCACGCTAACGTCACCATGAAGGACTCCAGCGACGTTGTAAACCCAATGATGGGCTATGTAAAAAGATATGAGAATAACGACAATGACGCAAAATAAACCCTAATTTACCTTCAAAAACATAGATGTACACAAGCTTGAAGTCATCCAAGCCACCAATGCACTCAAGTGGCAAGTATTCCTTCATGACCAATGCACGGAGCCACACCCGTGGCTCGCTCGGTTCGGGTAGGTCCATAAAGGCTCTTGGCAGCTTCAAATCTACCGCACTGATCTCCGAGGAGCATTTGAGCTCGACGATGTTCCTGACGTAAACGCGAGCTTTGTCATGTTCTCCAAGCTTCTTCCGAACTATTCGGATGATATCTGCTTCACTCTTGCGGTCAACGGAGGGCCATGACAATTTTACCACCAGGTTCTCGTCACCCCAAAGTTTCTTAGCTGAACCCCTCGCTCGAAGTGGGATGACCGTGGTACCTCGCCCTAGGGCACCATGTGCCACAACAAGAGGTGTGTCAGATGATACTCTGAGATCAAATTCGACAGGCGAAGGGCTCTTCGTTCCTTCGTCTCCAATCGCGAGAGGAAGCGGAAGTTTAAGTATAGCCCCTTCATGAGTGGCGCCTTTGGGATACTCGACAAGTGGATTGAAGCCCAGAGCGTGATGATCCGAGAAGTAAAGTGCGGAGACAACAAGTAACAGGAGCTCCGGATTCCTGAATATGTCGAAGGACTTCGAGGAGGCTATTCCCATACGATCAATATACCATAGAGACATGGATGTATCCTGAAGTAGGTAGCCAAAAGCGTATGTACGAATTCCATGCGATAGAAGTTCGTTGACATATTTTAACATTTGGATTTCTGTGTCTGTAGCGAGAAGCAAGTGTCTTGTGTTGGGAGCAGTGGCTGGGGTATGAGGTGTGACCCAGCCCATGTTGACTTTTCTGTTCGAGCGTGAGATGGGTTGCCATTTGGCCTTCCTCTTTCGAGTTCTCTCAGGTATCTATACACCAAAAACGAAGTATCAACACTCCAAGTTTATATGAGTTAGATGATAATTCCTACCTCAGGTACCTCAGATGATTTTGATGTAGGTTTACCGTTAGTGTCCCTACGAGCCATCCAATCAAGCGTAAGCTGCCAACAATGTCAATGGGAAATTATCAGACAGTGGATTGCTATAGTAGATACCTTCTGTAACTTATCATTCGTGATAGCCCGAGCATGCTCGCCTGGAGCATTCGTGTCTCGGGATTTCTTCATCTCGCCGAAACCACCTATGAAATCCCAATTCTGAAGCTGTGGTTCAACAGATGGTCCATAGACGAAATCGGGTTTATACGACGCAAAGTCGTCTGCAACAACATGATCGTGCAAGTACGCCAATACAGCAGGAAACGGTTGTTGATCATTTGGTTTGTCCTGTAGCTGTCGGATGAGGTCCCATACGATGGATTGGAACGCGTGGCAACAAGCCCTCTCTCCTTTGATGACTTGCTCATCTGGACCATCCTCCTTCAGATACTTTCGGCGAGAAAATATGGCACAGCTCTCCTTGTCTAGAAGATAACCATCCTTTCGACGAGGAATATCCTGAGGTGTAAACTTTAGAACATGTTGGACGAAGTTGATAACATCATATTCGATGTCAATCTTGTCCTGCAACACTTGAGTGAGTGCCCCTTTGACCAATAGCTCGTCAGTCCAGACAGGAGTCATATCCAATGGCATGCCGACTGGGGTTGGAGGTTCTGTCATAGAGTTAATGTTGATGGTCAGTAGCATGCTACTGTTACCACATATTTCGATTCGACTTACCTGACTGAAGGAGGCGCACCACTTCATATTGTTTGCTTGACATGATGTTAGGGACCGAGGGACACTTCCTGATCACAGTGGGCGGTTCTGATATGTTTATCTCGTCCCTCGCCCTGAGGGCGGCGCAGCCGTCGACGAGATAACTAGGAGGGTATGGGAGACCACCCCAAAAGCGAGGGAGAAATACCATGCTGCCCAACGGAGAACTGGATGCCTATAATATCTAGCTAGGAATGAAAGTAAGAGTAGAGCTCTTGAGAGCGGTGTGAGCGAGATGCGTAAGGGTTGCTGTGGCTTGGGATGCGTAGGACGGAGAAAGATGTTCTATGATCCAAGCTGCAGCCCGAGAAGAGCACAGTTTTTATACGAGCAAGTGATGTAAAATCTTAGACTTGGTCCTAATCAAGGCGTTGTTATGAGTGAAGTCGCAGAGTACTAGGAGTATTTGCTTACTGCCTTGTATATAGAGGTCGGAAGAGCTGCGTAGTAGCAAACAAGGCAGCCTAAGGCGTAAATACAGATTGTCTGAAACCATCGTTATTGTTCTGGTACAAGCACAACCCCTTTCCGGGTCGATGAAAGAGAAGACGCTCCTCGGCATAATCCGACGAGGACAATGTAACTAACATTATTGTACAGCAGAGAACGTATACGTGGCTTCCCAGCTATAGTCACGGCCAGGACCATATATTTGGTCAACATTGAACTCGGGGTTATTTATAGCATCAATCCAGGATTCTTGCTCGATAACCACGCATGAGTGGTCGGTATATACCGACTGGGGTCCACCTTGGCTGGCCTTCCTGGGAATTGGGTTGGTGGGATCGAAGATTCCGTTGCAAGTATAGATCTGAGTGTACGAAGGAATTTGAGAATTTGTCACAATCAATGATTCTAGAAATAGACACTAACCTGCAAAGCAGATTGGTCGGTGGCAACATCCAATCTAAAGTAGAGGGAGCTAGTCAGTAAATGCAACCGCAAACAATTGCCTTGGACGAACTTGATTCCGGAATTGACACTCCAAATTGAAAACAGAGATTTGCCGAACTCCGGTTTTTCATAAATCCAGCAATTATCGAATCCGACACAATCTAGGTAATGTTAGTAATGTCAACCATGTTTTAGACTTGAAATGAGATTATACGCCGGTACTTACCATTTCCACAATAAGCGAAAGGGGCTGTTGCATTAATACTACCTCCGATACTCTTAGCTTGACGGAAGTCTAAAGGAGTACCTTCGACTTCCAGAAGTTCACCAGTCGGAATGAGCTGCCCGTCGGTAGCAATAATTTTCGATGATGCGATTTCAGCTTGGTGGCCAACGAGGTCTTGCGATTCTTGGTATGCTTCCAAGTTCCAGTAATGATGGCCACTTAGCATGATCGGAGTCTTTTTGGTGGCCGTCGCGTGCATACTAATCTTCCACACAGATTTTGGTTCGAGTGTGTAAGTGACCTATGGAGTAGCCATGCGTCAATACTATCTCAAATATTATAACAAGGAGGTGTAACTGACTGTAGCGTGAACTGTACCAGGGAAACCTTGCATACCATTAGGATCAACTAGAGTGAATGTTGCCGAATTTTTGGTTTGAGCTTTGACTGTCCAGATACGTCTGTCAAACCCATCTGTGCCACCATGAAGGGTATCCGTTCCTAAAAGATATTTATAAACATGTGATAATATAATCATCATCATTTCGACAAACCGTTGTTCTCGTTTTCCGGAACGTGAAAGATACCAGGACCAGCGGAAGGCGGGTTCTTCGAGATAGGAATACTAAAGGTGCCATTCTTGATACGGTTAGCGTACCTACAAAACATGAGTATGGAGGAACATATATTGTTATTCTAGTTTACCTTCCCACTATTGGCCCGAAATATGGGTGACCTTTTGCGTCGGACTGATACAAAGTCTGGAACAGAGTCAATATATAATAAAAGGAAACATATGATTATCTGGCACCTACGTGATCGTCAAATCCAAGCAAGATATCTCTGAATAGACCATGCTAATATAGAAACCCATGTCATTAGTCGCATAGATTAGTGAGAGGCTGCGGGTAGACATACCTTGTCCTTGACCCAAAAATTGGTCGCGGTCGCACCAAAGGGGATGAAATTCGCCTTGGCAGAACCATCAGGTGCAACCAAGGTCACAACCTTGAAAGGCTGGTACAATATGGATCAGAATGCAAGTAGTTCTAGATGTGCGCGCATCTCACGTTGACTTGAGAATCATCCAAAGCTACCGCTTGGACGAATGCCGGCAGCAAGACAGAAAGCAGACCGAGACTTGAGATGAAACGCAACATTGTAGGGTGTTGAACCACTCATCGGTATAGTCACTCTTCATTTTATAGCAAATTAGAATCACTAGCTATACGACAGAAGCCATATGGGAAGGAGGCAGCAATGTACTCGTGACACCCTCTCTGTTCGGCGACCAGTTTATTCTGGGTGCAACTCATTGATGTTGCGGTAAGCATAGACAAGCCTGCGTGATGGAGGAGAGCACTCGGGGTCAGCTGGAAATATTATGGTGATTTAAATGAGAGGTAAATGCACTCCCATGCACACCGGGATTCGTGGCGACGTCGGTCACGCGCACAATTCACGGTCCAGCGGGGAGAAACGGTACGATGCCTTCATGATACATTGTATATCCCGCTTTGAATTGCCGTTAAAGACGATGATACGACTGTCAAGGGAGCAAGGAAGTACGTCGCGGCGAGTTGTCATTGGCAGAATAGTTGCCAGTACAATGTACATGCTGTGCTAGAAAAAAAGGATCTCAAATCTATCGTCAAAGACTCCCTGGCGGGGAGTCGAACCCCGCTTTCGCGCGTCCTTTGACACGGATAATGACAGGCGCGTGTACTAACCGATATCCTACCAGGGATGCTGCTGACGGAAAGAAAATATCTAATCACAATCGGTATGTCTTAAACATAGCCTCAACTCGAGTCTCGACCTGGAGACTCGGATCACAGTAACAGCAGGACTAGATATTATATGTATTATATGTTGCTATATTCCACCAGTGTTCATGCCACTTCAATCGGATTGCGCGACGATGACCCCGGGACGGAGAGCATATCAACCAAAGAGGACACGGAGGAATCTTTAATCACAGAATAACGCCTCTCGGGAAGTCGTTTGTTAGCTTCCACGCTATCCATCACCCACTCAGGACGAACAACGTGAGGCTTGATCTTGGACTTCCCCGTGAGCAATTTGTGTGTCTTGGATCCGTTCAATTGCTGAGATGTTAATATATGCGTAGCACCTGATGCTGTTTGCCTAACGCATTGGATACATTCAGAGTGAGCAGAAGAAAAATCACAAATGGACCGATATGAATACACACAGAACTTGTCCTCCAGCGAGAGTAATGATACGTTTCATCTCAATATCGGTAGTGTTGGCCAGGTACCCGTTTATGTAGACTGAAGAAATACAATGTATGAGCAAAGAGTAGTGAGAACATTGGAGAACACATTACTTCGAGTATTCCATAACACGTTAGCCTCGCGGTTTGTAGGTTTCTCTGGCAATTGTTCTGCCAATTTCTTGCCGCGAGACTGATGGTAGGCTTTCTGTGCAGTCCCTCTGCCATCCCCGCGTTGATGTCCAGTAGCGGCGGACGTAACGTAATCTACGACGCGGTCAGAAGTCCATCCCAGCATTGGGGGAAGTCAGAAACAGCAGTCAAACCTGATCTTGCGTATATGTCGGAGTGGGTGATAGGTAGTCTAAGACGGAACCCCTCCCCTCCAGTGAGAGTACCCCCGTGGGAAGGAATTTCGAGTCCGCTTGTAGATGCCAGTGTGACGGCCATCAGCGGAGCGTGAACTTCAGTCACTTCAGCCACAGGCGCGTTCCCCGCGCGTAGTACTAGTAGAAACGCGTCGTAAGTCGCGACTCATATTCGTACAGACACACTATTATGCTGCTATAATCTGTATCATCTTGCTTGCTCTAATATAAATTATGTCTAGTACTCAAGCAATCTCACCCATATCCACAACTACTCGCAATACAGCTATTAATCAAGATCTTGAGTCCATCCTCCGCCAAGCTTGTCAAGTACCCGCAGTACGAGATTTTCAACTAAAGCACGCCGCTGATCTCGTCAATGGAAGAGATCTCTTCCTTGTTATCTCCCCGGGGATGGGCAAGACACTTGTGATTCATGCACCCCTTTTGGTAGCTCATCACCGGAAAGAGAGTGGGATAGCTCTCATCATTGTTCCCACCAAGCTTCTTGCCGAGCAACAGGTAAGCAATCATATAGATATTCTGGGTATTAACTGCTATATTCATTGCTTTCGATCTCAGGCTGATGTCGCCACAAAACGTGGGCTCTTTGCCCTTGCCATCAATGAAGACACCGTCCAGGACGCATACTACAAGGGACGAAATTTATTTCAGGAACTCGTCAAGGCAAGCGGTATCCGGGCTGCAATCATGAGTCCTCAGATGCTACAAAGTAGTAATCTAAGCTCTCTGATTGACGACGTGACCTTCCGAGCCCTCGTTCGATGGTTTCTCATTGATGAGATTCACCTTGCGGACGAAGACAGTGGTGACTGGAAGGCAGCATATCTCCCTCTCAAATATATGCGGCAGCGTCTTCGCCCTTCTACCATCTGGGCAGGCTTCACCGGCACTGCAACACGCTCTGCAACCACTAGGATCACTTCTGCGCTCGGTTTCCCCCATGACTATGTCAACGCGCGGTATTCAGTCGACCGCCCTCAAATCAAGTACATTGTCCGCTTCCTCCAATACTCCATTTCGACCAACGACTTCTTTGACATTGCGTTTCTCATACCCCCTACTGCCTCATCATCTGATGACATCCCCCGTACTTTCATTTTCTGCGAGTCTATAGAGCTCGGCTGGCGAGTCATGACATTTCTGACTTCACTCTTACCGCCTACCTTCCCGAACCGCAAAGAGGTTGTGCTCCTGTATAATGCACTCATGCCGAAGTCATACCGCCAACGTTTCATGAAAGAGATTGTTGGTGGACCAAGCTTACGGATTGGTGTGTGTACTGAGACATGCACCTATGGACTAGATGCTCCCAACATACGCCGTGTTGTTACGTTCACGCTAGCCCCTTCTCATGAAGCATTAAAGCAGAGGCTCAGTCGTGGAGGGCGGGATGGGTTACCAGCCGAGGCATATTCATTTGCACCGACCTGGGTCCGTGATGTTCCTCCGCAGTCTATCAAGACTGCACAAGCTCGAGAAGATGCAGAAAGGCGTGCTAAGTTACCATCTGTTGTACGACAATGGTATAACTCATCACCATCATTCTGCTCTCGTCGCGCCGATTTGGAATACTTCGATGAAGAAATGGGTCTACCACGGGAAGTTTGCTGTAGCTCTCACCAGCCGGAACCTGAACAAAGCGAGCATGCTGCTCTCAATTCATACTGGCATGAAAAATTCTTGGATGCGCGTGTAGGATCGGAGGTTCGTGTACCCTTGCCGCGCTCAGATGGAACTTATAAACCTCTGGAACCTGGCATGCGCGAGTCCTTGTTGGCTATGTTACATACTTGGAGACGTCACACCTGGATGAGGATTCGAGGACACCGTCTTGATATGCTTGCAAGCCAGTTCTTGCCTGCATCGATCCTCACACGTGTTGTCGAGAAGGCTCACATCTGTACCACACTGGAGAATCTTCGGGCGGTGATGGGTTGGTTGCACTTTGACGTGCATGGATCAAGTTTATTTGCATTTTTAAAGGAAGTGTTGGAAGGGTTTGGTGACATTTTGAAGGAACGTGTGAAGGAGGAGGATGGTGATGACTCGGAAGGTGATAGAGAGAGCAAGGAAGCTACACTGGCGCTGCCATCTTTACGGGTACGAATTCTACCTCCAGCAACTCAGTCAAATACCATGGTCCCTGCTAAGCGAGTACGGTCAGACTCTGTAATGAACCAGGGTCAACATAGTGAAAAACGTACAGCTAGGGTAATATAAATATTATTCCTCATTTGAAAGAGATATAAACCGTGAGAGTGAGGTCATGCCATTCTCCATGATAATTGGATTTGGAGGAGGCATGACTTCATCGAATTCTGCCTTGGAGTTGGGACTGTTATTGGTTTCAATTCCTTCTCCAAGTCCATGAAGAGTTCTGTCCAAGAAAACTTGTAATTGACCATCATGGAGCTTTGCAATGCCTTCACCAAATTCATTCGGGACTTCATATGGTTGCTTTCTGCCTGGACAAAATGATAAGATATCAGCCTCGCGGTAGTGACGTCCTAGTCGATTGATGTCATTTTGGGTATTTGCAGGTGTATGTTTGCCGCTGATCTTTGTTAGCTCAAATATCTGTGTAAATGTTCCTCTGAGCTGTCCGAATCCGCTAAGGTTGAGACCAATGCATTCCTTCAGAAAATTGGAGTCAAAGTCCATAGTCTTCTTCTGGAATAACCGCTTCAGCCAGAAATTAAAGTGCTCTTGCAAAAGATCAAGCTCATGCCATTTTCCGGGAAGTCCAGAGGGGTTAACAAGCCAGTTGTTCAAGTGGGCAGTTTTGAGATCCGAAGAGTACTCCTTGAGAAAATTGCATGCAAGTTCTAGCAGCTCATTTCCATAGTTTGTGGCACCTGCACCCCAAAATGAGAAACGTAGAACCTAAGTAAGTAATTTAGTATATTTTTAGACACTGAAACAATTGTGATGTCAAACCTTGATGATTTCGTGTGTCCGACCAGGGTCACCTTCGGCAATTGAGGCACAGAACTCGCGATACCAGAACGTCATGCGCATGAAGTTGACAAGATTCATCATCTGCTGATCACCCTTGCAGGCGTCGATACGCTTACTTGAGATTTGTGGTTTTCCTCCTCGTTGTCTCTGGGCTTTCTTGCTCAATCCCTGCTCATCAGCTACGGTGGCCTTTGGTGTGGAGTCTGCTATATTAACTTGTTTACTAGAAAAACATAACTAGTCCCAAAAATTACATACCTAATCCTTCTAGATTCGGAGGTCCATAAATTTCTTCATCACGATGGCAGAAATCTTGAGCATCATCATAAGCAGACAGTCGGAGGTAACGGTTGTAAACCTTCTCAGCAAAACCATCTAGTTGCTCAATTGAACAACCAGCAAGTTCACCCTTAGGACTAAAGTATGCTTCGAGAACATCAAGTAAATTTCCACTCTTCTTGGTTCCGGTTTCTTCCTCACAAAGGAGCCTTAAATTAAGTTATTAGAATAATCAACAACTCTAGACACATTTGAACTATACCGTAAACCCTCCAGAGCTAGTGCATCAAATCGATCCTCCAATATGTGATGTGCTGGATAAAATTCACACTTCTCGTGATTGAATTTCTCCCTTCCGAGCAAGACACAATCATGGTGTAAACCGTAGATATCCTTCCCAAGATTTGACCACCAGTGCATCTTAAAGATACACTTCTGCCATGTCCACTTCATATGCCAGAGTTCGATTCTTGGTATCATCCAGTCATGGCGCTCGAAAGGAGTAAAACACTTGGCCATGTATCGCTTCACTTTTCGTAGACGATCAACACTAAGTTGATCACCACACACAAAGATTAGACATTTGTACAACCATTCAGGGCGTATTCGAAGCTGTTTACAGAAGATATCTTGGATAACCCGCATAACGCCAGTAGTCGTAGCTTCATCAATGTTTGAACACCGTAGAGTTTGGATTTCGGAGGTTCGCAAGGGCAGACGGTGTTTCTTGACTTCCTCAGAGAAGTACTTCTCAACCACACTCCGGTGCTTGGACAAGGAGGGAATGAACTTCACCCAGACACGAAGAAGAGTGGCCTTGCCAACACTCAAGAGATGGGGCCAGTCAATGTCACGGTCAAGTTCATCAACCGTCAATGAGCC